TTTGGGAATCAAGCGCACACAAGACGGTGGCTGGACCGCAGTTCGCTCCACACTGACTGCATGGAACCACTCTTTGATCCTAACACGGCCACAAGGACCGTGCACCCTGTCCCCTCCAGCAACGACCAACTGTCTCCTGGAGCCAGTATGGACGAGGTAGTGGGTAATAGACAGGTAGGCACCTTGTCAACATGCACATCAAGCGCATCCACACCGGGGATATCAAACAACAGCCAAACACTTGAAAGAGAGAAAGAACAAGAGAAAAACTCGATTAATGCATAAGGAAACGGTGATATAAACCTTAATTAAATATCATATGTAATAAGTTGATTACAAACAAATCCTAGCTAAGTGCACGAGGTCCGGAAATATAGTTCACGGAATGCCACGAACGCAAAAATGTTATGGAAATCGAATACAATTGGCTTAGGCGATGTGTGCAAGTTAATAGAATAGAGTACAGGGAGATATTTATATGAGAAAGAAAAGCATTAAGGTAAAAACTGTAAACCCACCACCTGAAATAAAGAGACTTAGCATGCAAGCACGCGGTTAGTAAATCGAATTCAGCGTGCCTACAAACGCTGCGCCGGCTCGCCGTAATTCTCTGCAGGACTCGTCGTCGCTTCTGTAGTGGCCCCTAATGGCATAGCTCATGGCCCGCTAGACATTTATATGAGAAAGAAAGGCATTAGGAGAGAACCGAAAACCCACCACCTGAAATAAATAGACTTAGCATGCAAGCATGCGGTTAGTAAATCGAATTCAGCGTGCCTACAAACGCTGCGCCGGTGCTGCCTACGTTCACTGCAAGACCCGTCGTCGCTTCGGCAGTGGTCCCGAGTGACCTCTCTCATGGCTCACTAGGCCTGCCTGACTAAGGCACTCTCGACCGCATGTTCTACAGCACCATGCGCTCGATGTCGATGGAGTACAATTTATCGGTGCTTGCCGCTTCCGCAACTGCCGCTTCTTCTCTGCATGCATGAGGGCTTTCTCCCGCACTTCAGCAACTGCCTTCGTGATTAGATCGCGCCATGCACTCCGATCAACCGCCTTCGATTCCCATGATCTGCAATCAAGATTAGAACGTGTGAGGCTCACTTTAATCATGTCCTGGTAACGTAACTTTGGTTTCCCAGCATGCCGCTTCCCAGTACTCAGCTGACCGTATAAAAGTTGATTCGGTATCTGCGCCGAATCCATACGCCACACATGACCAAGCCATCTCAGGTGTCGCAGTAAAAGTATGCCGTCCACTGCATACATCCCACTTCGGCGCAAAACTTCCGTGTCTGCGATTCTGGCGCCCCAACCGATCCGCAAAATTCGTCGCAGACACTGCTGATGGAACCGCTCGAGGTATCGCACATCCCGCCGGTACATCGTCCACGTTTCACTGCCGTATAGAAGAACGGACAGTACCATGGATTTGTACACCATCAGCTTCGTGCCAATGGTAAGCTGATGGTTGTTCTACACTCGGTACTCAAGCTTCCCGAATGCCGCTGCCGCCTTCGACACGCGAATACGCAACTCAACGTGTAGCTGCTGATCAGTCGATATCACACTCCCAAGGTAGCAAAAGCGGGAGGTGGTTTCCAATACTTCAGCGCCAATGCTGATTTGCGGCAATATTGAAGCTTACACCTCCGGTGAAGGCTGTAAGAGACAGACAGTTTTGCTTGTGTTGATGGTGAGCCCGAATTTGGACGCTGTCGAAGGCAGAGCACTAGTCATGTGCTGCAACTCATCCGCGCTGTGTGAAAACAACGCACAGTCGTCAGCAAACAGCAACATACGGATAGTTGTCTCACAGACTAGAGTTCTCGCACCGAAACGACGGATGTTCAGCAACCCACCATCAATACGGTGCTCCACACGAACACCGTAAGCACAAGCCGCATCAAAAGCACAAGACAACATTGCATGAAGATATATATTAAACAGGGCAGGAGCTAACACACAGCCTTGCTTCACACCAGAGACAACTGCAAAGTCATCCGAGGTCTCTCCACTCAGCTGCACCCGCGCTCGCATACCACTGTGCAGACATTCAATTAAACTTACAAACTTACGCGGGCAACCAAACTTATCCAACACCAGCCACAATGCCTCGCGGTTCACCGTATCAAATGCCTTGGTGAAATCAACAAAAAGCGAGTACAATGGCTGGTGTCGTTCTCTGCACTTCTCTTGCAACTGACGAGCTGCAAACACCATATCTATAGTGCTGCGACCCGAACGGAATCCACACTGCTCTTCCGCCACGTTAAGTTCCACAACCTGACTCACGAGGCGATTGAGCAGGATTCGGGCAATCACCTTGCCCACACAACTCAGCAAGTTATTGCCACGATAATTCGTGCAACATTGCTTGCTACCTTTGCCCTTGTACAGTGGTAGCACAAGGGCATCCTTCAGCTCAGAAGGCACTTCCTCCTCAATCCACACGCGTTGCACCAAGTGGTGCAGCGCAGTCAACAACGCGGGTCCACCGTGTTTCAATACTTCAGGCGGGATCCCGTCACCTCCAGGACATTTGCTGTTTCGCAGCTGAGCAAGTGCTCTCTGCGTCTCATCCAGTGTCGGCGTATCCGCCAGATCCGCCTTCACATCGTGCTGCTTCAGGCCGTTCAATATAGGCCAGTCGATCTCTGAACGGTTGTTCAAGATACAGTCAAAGTGTTTCCGCCAGACCTGCATTATGTCTGCATTCTGGGTGCAGGTAGCGCCTGAACTACCATCGATCAGTGTCCTCAGCGGCTCCAATCTCGGTCCATACACCGCCTTCAAGGAGTCAAAGAATTCCTTGTGTTGTCGGCGTTCGGCGTAGCGTTCCATCTGCTTCGCCTTCTCCGTCCACCATGCATTTTTAATGCGACGGAGCTCTCGGGTCAGTCGCCGTCGAAGTTTGCGAAACTGACTCCTCTTCCCCAAGTCACTGGGGTCTGCGACATGTGCAGCAAATGCTGCCTTCTTCTCTGACACCAATGCGCCAATCGTCACATTGTTGCCATCAAACCAATCAGGCCGTTTACAGTTTGCGCGCCCGATGGCCTCCTCGGCAGCAGCTGTCACCTGGTCGCGAATGTGGTGCCACAGGTCGCCCACTGTGGCTATGCAGTCCACATCACACAGGCGTGCAGCCATCGCCTTCTCCAGCTCAGTACGTTTCGCCACAGTACCGAGGGAGAGAATGTTAAATTTACGCCGATTCACGGCGGGAGTGCAATACATAGATTTACGAAAATATATGTACAGTTTAGTCCGCACCAACTTGTGATCAGTGCCACACTCAGCTCCACGCAGTACACGTGTCATGCGCACTTCACGCAAATCACGCTGACGTACGATGACATAGTCGAGCAGGTGAGCGTGACCACTCCGTGGGTGCGTCCAAGTTGCTGTATCACTCGCACTCAGTGCAAACCGAGTGTTCGTGATCGTCAGGCCGTGAGTGGCACACAGTGAGAGCAGCCTGTCACCGTTCGCATTCATTGAACCAATGACATGCGCACCGATAACATCTGTCCACGCTGATGCATCACGCCCAACGCGCGCGTTGAAATCACCCAGAAGAAATAGTCGGTCGCTCCTCGGCACAGACCGTATCACGGAGGATAGCTCAGTGTAGAACTGATCACGCGTGTCATCAGGATAACACATGGTTGGACCGTACGTGCTTATAAAAGTAGCAAACTTACCTCTTCCGAGTCGTAGGCGAACAGTCATCAGTCGCGCCCTGATGCCCGTTGGTTCACTCACCAGCTGGCCATTCAGGCGATCGGATATTGCAAATCTGACCCCATGTTCACGTGGTGCTGAGGCGGCGTTCCCCACCCAATAGAATGTGTAGCCAGCACCTGCTTCATGTAACTTACCTTGCTCAGCGAGCCGAGTTTCACTGAGCGCCGCAATATCGATGTTGTAGCGCGCCAGCTCCATCGCGACCAGTGCAGTGCGTCGCTCCGGTCGCTCGCTCGAGTTCCGGTCCAGTAGTGTGCGCACGTTCCAGCACCCGATGCTGAGTGCTTTGCGCGCAGGCATACGATTGCATTGGTGGGCAATCGCACGCGAGGTGGTCGTTGTGATTCGGAGGTTTGCTTGAGGGACTCCACCCGGAGCCTTTGGCTCAATAGCCTGACCCACAAGGCAGTGGGTGGTTTGGAGGTTTGCTTGAGGGACTCCACCCGGAGTCTTTGGCTCAATAGCCTGACCCACAAGGCAGTGGGTGAATCGGAGGTTTGCTTGAGGGACTCCGCCCGGAGCCTCTGGCTCAATGAATACTTTGATAATTACTTTGATAATTAATACCAGTGTAAAATTTAAAAATAATATCGAGCGTAAACGTTCAGAAAGACACTGGGGTGCAGTGATCGTTGATGTAAGGTGTGAGGAAAGTAAAATATGGTCGCTCACTTGAGTCCATTTGACACACAAATACTGTTGAAAAGCATGCTTGGCGTAATCCACAATAGAAGAGTTTAGGTAACAAAATGCTGGGAGCTAAGAGCAACATCTAATCGTTTTTTGAAAACGTCCAAAGCAGGAGAGGATACAACTGAGTCTGGGAGTGCGTTCAGAAGAGGAGGGGTGGCCAAGCGATGACTTGGTCCAGAGGAATGAAGACCCTCACTTCGAAGCTGGCCTCGGTTGGAGCGTCTCGGCTCCCTGGTTGGGGTCCGAAAGACGATGAACACGTTTGGTTGGACACACTTGCTGATATGGCTAGGAGCCGACCTCAGTGACGTTCGTGATGTGAGTTTCTTTGTCCCACCCCAACCCTCTTAGCCTCCCCCTCCAACCACGATCTCATTACTTAGCCTTATATAATTTTGCATTATAATTTTTTTTGGGTGCACAGAAGCCGGCTGGCAGCTTACCGGAACGACGCTCATCCGTTACCGGTAGCTCAGCCAGCTTTCACCAGTTGTTTTTTCTCTCCATTTTTATTTGTATTACGGCACAGTACCTGAGGTGTTCCCCACCTCTAGCTAACGTGTATGATGCTGATGATGATGATGATGATGATGATGATGATGATGATGATGATGATGATGATGATGATGATGATGATGATGATGATGATGATGATGATGATGATGATGATGATGATGATGATGATGATGATGATGATGATGATGATGATGATGATGATGATGATGATGATGATGATGATGATGATGATGATGATGATGATGATGATGATGATGATGATGATGATGATGATGATGATGATGATGATGATGATGATGATGATGATGAGATGATGGATGATGATGATGATGATGATGATGATGATGATGATGATGATGATGATGATGATGATGATGATGATGATGATGATGATGATGATGATGATGATGATGATGATGATGATGATGATGATGATGATGATGATGATGATGATGATGATGATGATGATGATGATGATGATGATGATGATGATGATGATGATGATGATGATGATGATGATGATGATGATGATGATGATGATGATGATGATGATGATGATGATGATGATGATGATGATGATGATGATGATGATGATGATGATGATGATGATGATGATGATGATGATGATGATGATGATGATGATGATGATGATGATGATGATGATGATGATGATGATGATGATGATGATGATGATGATGATGATGATGATGATGATGATGATGATGATGATGATGATGATGATGATGATGATGATGATGATGATGATGATGATGATGATGATGATGATGATGATGATGATGATGATGATGATGATGATGATGATGATGATGATGATGATGATGATGATGATGATGATGATGATGATGATGATGATGATGATGATGATGATGATGATGATGATGATGATGATGATGATGATGATGATGATGATGATGATGATGATGATGATGATGATGATGATGATGATGATGATGATGATGATGATGATGATGATGATGATGATGATGATGATGATGATGATGATGATGATGATGATGATGATGATGATGATGATGATGATGATGATGATGATGATGATGATGATGATGATGATGATGATGATGATGATGATGATGATGATGATGATGATGATGATGATGATGATGATGATGATGATGATGATGATGATGATGATGATGATGATGATGATGATGATGATGATGATGATGATGATGATGATGATGATGATGATGATGATGATGATGATGATGATGATGATGATGATGATGATGATGATGATGATGATGATGATGATGATGATGATGATGATGATGATGATGATGATGATGATGATGATGATGATGATGATGATGATGATGATGATGATGATGATGATGATGATGATGATGATGATGATGATGATGATGATGATGATGATGATGATGATGATGATGATGATGATGATGATGATGATGATGATGATGATGATGATGATGATGATGATGATGATGATGATGATGATGATGATGATGATGATGATGATGATGATGATGATGATGATGATGATGATGATGATGATGATGATGATGATGATGATGATGATGATGATGATGATGATGATGATGATGATGATGATGATGATGATGATGATGATGATGATGATGATGATGATGATGATGATGATGATGATGATGATGATGATGATGATGATGATGATGATGATGATGATGATGATGATGATGATGATGATGATGATGATGATGATGATGATGATGATGATGATGATGATGATGATGATGATGATGATGATGATGATGATGATGATGATGATGATGATGATGATGATGATGATGATGATGATGATGATGATGATGATGATGATGATGATGATGATGATGATGATGATGATGATGATGATGATGATGATGATGATGATGATGATGATGATGATGATGATGATGATGATGATGATGATGATGATGATGATGATGATGATGATGATGATGATGATGATGATGATGATGATGATGATGATGATGATGATGATGATGATGATGATGATGATGATGATGATGATGATGATGATGATGATGATGATGGGAGTGCGTTCCAGGGTTGGTAAACCCGAAGGGAAAAGTAATTCCGTCGACACTCTAGGCGGCTATATTGTTCCTTCAATTTTAAGCAGTTACCCCTTGATCTGCGTGTTGTGGCTGTTTCAGCAAATGGCGGCATACGTAGTTTGGGTCACTTGGTATCTGATACGCTAATATGAGATCACCGCGCAGCCTTCGATAGCGCCGGCCGAAAATTCCCAGCAACTTCAGCCTTCAGTGGTAAGAGTGATGGCGCATGCCCTTTACATTCTTTGTTGCCCTTCGTTTTGGTGCCTCTATCGCTTCTAGGTCGCGCTTCAACCAAGGTTTCCAAGCTTGGATAGCGTATTCAACATGCGGGCGTACGTAGGAATTGTGCATCATTGGGAGGATTGATCTATCAAATATCCCGAATGCCCTTCGCAGCATGCCGACGTGCTGGTTGCCTCTTTTCGCAGCTACCTCAGCCTGCTTTGAATAGTTGAGGTCGCTCTGTACGATCACACCAAGGTCGCGTTCCTGGGAGCTGGTCTGCAATCCCTTTGTCCAAAGTAAGTAGGTGTAGTTATGTCTATGGCGTAATTGTACAACGCGACATTTGTCTACGTTGAATGGTAGGGCGTTTTGAACTGACCAGTTCGACACTGTGTTAAGATCGCACTGGAGCCATTCGTGGTCGTCCGGTCCTCTGATCCTTTGCCAAAGCTTGATATCATAAGCGAAAAATAGGAAATCGGAAGCAATTGATCTCGCCAAATCGTTAATGAACACCAAGAATAGACGACGTCTATGCACCGAGCCTTGTGATACTCCACAAGCTACATCGAGTGTACCAGACAATGATTCTCGCACTCTCACCACTAGTCGTCGTTTTTGTAGAAAATTGCTAATCCAACAAAGGATTGGATCGCAAATGCCGTAGTTCCGAAACTTCTGAAGGAGAATTCGATGGTTTAAGCGATCAAACGCTTTTGAAAAGTCCAGGTAGATGACCGACTCCTACTCCATCCTCAACAGCTTCAGTCCAGCAATTACGTGCAATTAATAGGTTAGTATTATACGAATGCTTCCGACGAAAGCCATGTTACTCTAGAGCTATTAAGTTGTGGCTTTCCAGATACTGCGTCAACGCACCTGCGATGATTGATTCCATCACTTTGGATAGTACGGGAAGTAGTGTTATTGGACGGTACTTGGCAGGATCAGTGCGGCTGCCTCCTTTATGGATAGGAGTGATGACCCCTGGCTTTCATACTGAGGGAATACGGTTCTCTTCTATACATCGTTGATAGAAAACAGCCAGTGGTTCTGCTAGGTCACTAACTACCATCTGCAGAGCCTTTGGTTGGATGTTGTCGGCTCCGGGAGAACTGTGGATACGCAAGGAAAACAACTTCTTCAACACAGCTACCGCAGTGAAGGTGATGTTGTCTAAACCAGATGGTGGATGATTAGAAATGAGGAAAATGTTTGGGTTCGTTACCTGCTGGAAAGTTTGGGAATAATGAAGTCGTAGGAGATCAGTTGCTTCCATTGCTGATCGCATGCACCCATCAGCCGTGACAAGTGCTGGAACCCCCCGCCTCACCTTTCGAAGGCCGTTAACGTGCCTGTACAGAAGTTTGTGGTTCGTGCAGTTTCGCTTCATTTACCCTTTTTACAGTAGAACCTTTTAACGTGAAAGGGTCGGCGAAGCTAAATCGGGCATCGTCACTGCTCACAGCGGCATTCCCCAATGTTCCGTTTTAGTACCATTCTTGTTCCTTATGTTTATTAACGACTTGGCTCCTCTTCTCCACTGCCCCTGTTATATTTTTGCTGATGATCTGAAAATCGTCAACAAGAGTAATCGAGACGTGTTGTCGAAGGACCTTTGCACTGTAGTTGATTGGTCGGTTACATAGGATTTGCCTTTGAACGTCAGCTGATGCCGGTTACTGACTTCTCAAAATGAAGGGATTATGGTGCTAACACCTTTTGAGCCTCTAGATCTGCGACTTGCAGATGAAGCACACAAATTATGCATCATTGTGGAGAACGACTTCAAACCTTCAGCGCAGTTTAAGCATGCTGCCAAGAAGGCGCGGAATGAGTTGTTTCGCCTCAAACGATCTTTATGCTGCACTAGAGCTGCTTTTCTTCCTTTCTACAACACGGTGGCAAGACCTCATCTAAAATACTGTGTACAAGCTTGGGCACCGTGCCACCGGAAAGACGTGGCCTGTATAGAAAAGGTACGAAAACTGGCAGCTGGGCTGATTAAGGGTCTAGGTGAAAAACCATACACTGAGCGCCTAAGGAGGTTAGGTTTATATTTATTGGAACGGCGCAGACTAAAAGGGGACCTAATAGAGACGTTTAAAGGAACGCGGGGTTGTAGTGGTGTCCTGTGTACCAACTGTTTGAGTTCACCTGGTCAGATCACCTGCGAGGACACCAACTGAAGCTCAAGCATCAGATATCTGAGCTGGATCTCAGGGCGTGGTTCTTTGCGAATCGTGTAGTCAATAGCTGGAATATGCTATCTCTAGCAGTAATAGGATGCAGCACCGTAGAGGCCTTCAAAAGAGGCCTAGATAGGTGTTGATCTGCACTTTTTCAGAATGCAGAATTTTATTGCATTATGTCGCTGTAACCTCGTACTGCATGAGAGTACAGAGGATGCTTTTGTTTTTGCTTCAATCTTTTGCAGAAGCCGCGGAAGTTAATCGGACGTCGAAGTACCCGGGGGCTATTGTTCGCTTACCGGTGCATGAAACAGGATGCTCGTTATACGAAAGCTTGTTTCGTTCTTCGAAGCTGACTTGGCTTGACTTGACTTCCACTTCTGCGTTTCAGCCAATTAGAAACAATAACGCCCAGATAGACGACTACCAAAATTCCACAGGGTATGGCATGACAAGCATGGTTTGTTCGAGTTTCTAGGGTACTTTAACTCATTGCCAACAAGCCCGCAGCAACACCAGATTACGATTTTTAGCGCTGCCTATTCGACGCTCCCAACGAAAAATGGGCGCTCCTCTGGAAGCATCGATAGACATACTCTGGAGAGAATCCGCCCTTTGTTATGCGCATTGAGTCTATAGAACACATAGTGCTGTCACGGGAACAGGAGTCAATTACTTGGCTTTTAACTTTTGACGATAAGGGGTAAGGCTTATTGATCCATTTACCTTAGTTACTGTCCGGACAACAGTAGGCAAAAGACTTCTGAAATCCATTTACATAATTCCAGTGCCCTCAAGAATTTGCGATCAATTTGTTGCTGAAATGGATACCTTCTGTTCTTGGGGACCGTGTTTGCAGAAACGCAGTAAATTCCGTACTCGTTTGCGGCAGTAAGACAGCCCTTTCCACCCGAAGATCTTATACTCCCCCAGATCTCCAACCATCGTTTTTTTGCAGAGCGTTACTCGGGTCGCGTAATTTTACTGATTCTGAACTGGTGAACTGCGAAGACAACTGTTTGGTGGCGGTGGTCAGCTCAGCTGGTCAGACCAGCACATAGAACCGAATAGATTTCAGCCACTTGAAAATTCTCATTTAGAGTTAAAAAGGAGCACGAGATCATAGGTGAACAATTGTTTTCGGTGATTCTGTTCAGACCATTACAGTCATATTTAAGGGTAAAATAAGGAACTGAAATCGACCCATTGGCTCAAATTACATAGTGAATTAACGATTCAGTGAGGGAGGCTGAAACATGACCTTTGACCTGACAGGTCGATTCCATGGTACCGAGCTTGATCTGTGGCAGTCGACCTCAGCATCGTTCCTTCTAGCTGGCCAGGGAAGCTGTAAGGCCTGGATCAACTTCTTTTGCGAGCATAAAGGAGGTTGAAACAACCGGATGCAAATCGATCCAGGTGTCGCGAGCGTACGGAGGCGCAAACCTCTTGATTGATGCTGGGGAACCCTGTAAATTATCCTGAAGGAACGCTTTAGATTAATTTGGTGCCCAGTGTCGACAATATGAGCCAAAACGGTGCTGCTAATAGCCCCAGTTCCTCCTTGACGCAACCAGCGCGGGCAGCGCTCGTTCACGCGTTTGGACAAGTGCCGTGCTGTTAGACTAATATACGTAGCGTCACAAGCTCAGCTGGAATGCAACTGTTGTATCTATTTTTCCTTTGTGTATTGTGTTATATGTATGTATGTATGTGGTGCGCTGAGGCTGGTGGTGGCTAGATCCTGACAGATGGTCTACCCACTGCTGCTACTGTTGCGCCATAGTCTCATGTCCTGGGCGCCTCCACGTGGCGACCGCTGGGTGGGAGTTGGGTTTCACCCTTCTCCCTGCTAAGATCCAGGACACCAATCCGCATGAGTCGGCTAACTGACCATGTGCTAGACCCGCTGCCTTTCGGGTGTTCATTTAATCGAAGGCTTTGGCTGAGGACCCGAGTCGTTCTCCTGTCAGGTGTGGGCGCCCTGGCAGTATCCTAGTCCATCCTCTTCGGAGGTTAGGAAGTGGTCGATGGCCCTCTTCCCGTAAAACCTAGCCATGGAAGACAACAAGTTTACGGGTTATAAGCTCACAGCTCGATTGGCGTAGAGCACGAGTGCCACGCATTGTCTCTGACGGTGGGAGGACACCTCCGGATGTTCAATGGTTTGCTACTGCCCGCCTCAAGCCAGGCAGCCCCTGGTCAAATTGGTGCGAACCCGCCAAAAACCCACCTGCGTCTGGCCGGGGTAACAGGTGCGTATCCTACTACGGTCGCAAAACATATAATAATTGTTCCAGAACCTCAAAGGCTGCGTGTGACGGCCGTCAAGCAGATCCCCATCTGTCTCTGCAATCACATTCCCGAGCTGGATCTGCTCCCCACTGCCTTGTGGGTGAGGCTATTGAGCCAAAGGCTCCGGGCGGAGTCCCTCAAGCAAACCTCCAAACCACCCACTGCCTTGTGGGTCAGGCTATTGAGCCAAAGGCTCCGGGTGGAGTCCCTCAAGCAAACCTCCAAACCACCCACTGCCTTGTGGGTCAGGCTATTGAGCCAAAGGCTCCGGGTGGAGTCCCTCA